GTTTAACTAAAATTTATATTATTTTATAAACTAGAATTTGTTTCTATCCCAAACAGTGTACGTATGGTTCAGTCAAATTAGGATGGAACATACATATATAAGGACAGCCGGGCATAGCTCAATGAACTCTGCTAACTATAAGGATTTACATATAATAGTATGAAAACATTTTATGAAAGAAGTAATAAATATTTATTATAATTTGGTAATAAACAATACGACATGATTTAATATCCATAATTGTTGGATAATTTGTAATAGTTTGATTATAGTGATTTGAAAGTTATCCCAAATAACTTTCAAATCACTATAATCAAACTTAAATCCGTAATAATTTGATTTTGTTTGAATTAAATTTTTATGGTATTCAATTTAATAGATTACACAGGACTACCATGAAAAAAAAAACTTTTTAAATAATTGTCACTTATACTACTATTATCTCCTGATCCCGAAAATGGCAATATTTTGGATTTTAGCACCAAATAATTGAAATATCTTCATATATATTCAATTATCATTCCAATAAGATATAAAACACAAACATCGGTAAAAAAAATCGGTTATTACAAATTCTTCAGATCATTTAGTGTCAAAAACCCTTAATTAAGAAATATTAAAAAAAAATCTAAATTATGCGTTTGTGCTGATGTTTGTAACACCCAAAAATATTAAAGTATACTAATCGGCTCAGAATTACTTTATGAGTTGATTAAGCTATGTCCGTCCGTCCGTCTGTCTGTACGAACGCTATTGCAAATGGCTGAAATCGGTCCATTATTTCTCCTAGCCCCCATACATACATACCGTACCCCCGAATAAGGCTTTTGACCTCATAATTATGTTAAATGACCTACTATATCTACATTAATTGGCTAGCGATTTTCTTCAAGAACGGGCACTAGCCCTAGCCCCTTCAGAAAAGGACTTGAATGACTAAGTTTGATATAATCCTGCCAATTTTAGTAATGATCTTGCCTCATTTGACCCTAGCCCCTATACAAAGTCCCCTTCAGAAAGTTATTTGAACGTCCACAATTCATTAATAAACAATCAGGCACAAATAAGTTTTATATAAACATAAATCCCGACATTAAATTTTAAAACGATCGGACCAATTTTTGCCCTAGTCCCCATACAACCGGATCTTCCAATTTGGGTCATTTTTTCTTAACTACGTCTAGTATACTACTACTAGGCACAATGTGCTGAAGTTTGTAACAGGAAAAATATTTGTCCTTAAATATATCAGTCGGTTCAAAATCACTTTCTGATTCGATACGGTCACCTTGTATGTTATAATTTGTCACATACTCTTCTTTGGAAACTGAAATAGGATCTTTAATTTCTTCTAGTCAGCATATAGCCGTACATGAACAGACATTCCCAGGAAAAACTTTACTTACCCGGTAAGCAGGCAAGTAATATTGGAGCAATATGAAAGTACTTACTTTTGGGGTGAATAACTGATTATTTTTGTTCGACGAGGTTCAAAAAATAACTGGGTACAAATGTGCTTACTTACTTACTCTTTCCGCTTACTCAGTGCTCCATTAACAAGTTATTTCTACGTCTTTTAAAAATACGGATATCAACTATGATTCGAAACACAAACTTTGGATAGATGCTTTAGATAATTGGACTGATTCTCTAGATAATTGCCTACAAATTCCATTCAAAAAAATTAAGTAATGTAATTGATAACAACTACTCATTACCAGGTAATGTATTAAATAACTTCATTATCTAGATTACTCATTACCAAAATTTTAAGATTTTTCGCTGGGTTATTTGGAACCTATGTAAGATTCAACATAAATGCTTTATTATTGAAAATGAATCACATTTAATATTCGAAATTGGTGTAGGGTATCATATGGTCGGCCACGCCTGACTATAGTTTCTTACTTGCTATCTATATAAATATATAAAATTCTAACGTTAATGACTGACTGACTGACTGACTGATCGCACAGCCTAAACGGTTGAAGCTAAAGAGTTGAAATTTGGACTGGATGTTGGTCTCCCACTAAATAGATCAACTAAGACGGGATTTTTGTAAATTCGAATGTTTAGGGGGTAAAAAAGGGTAAAAACGGGTAAATTCGGTAACCTCATATCTCCTAAACTATAAAAGACACAAAAACAGTTTAAAACTTATCGTCGTTCATTTAAAAAATAAGCGGACAGGTGTCTGGTACTTTTTTAAAATTCGGCCCCTTTAGGGAATTAACGGGTAAAAACTGTATTTTGGTACTTTTTTTGCACCCCATGTATCTTTTAAACCAATGAACATACAAAAAATATTTTTGACTCCTCATAACCTAACGAAAAAATAAAAATACGAATTTAGTACTTTTTGGATACTCGGACGTTTAAGGGGTGAAAATTGTACCTATTTTTGGTACTTGGTACGGGCTCCCAATACGGTGTTGCAACTTTTTGGAACAGAATTTTTATTTCGTTAATGGTGAGGAAAATAGTACCAAAAGGGGTAAAAACGGGAAATTTGATTTTATTCAAACACAATGATGACACAATGAATTTATTAGATCTAGAAAGACTAAAATATTCTACAAAAAATATTTTTGACTCCTCATAACCTAACGAAAAAATAAAAATACGAATTTAGTACTTTTTGGATACTCGGACGTTTAAGGGGTGAAAATTGTACCTATTTTTGGTACTTGGTACGGGCTCCCAATACGGTGTTGCAACTTTTTGGAACAGAATTTTTATTTCGTTAATGGTGAGGAAAATAGTACCAAAAGGGGTAAAAACGGGAAATTTGATTTTATTCAAACACAATGATGACACAATGAATTTATTAGATCTAGAAAGACTAAAATATTCTAATGGGGTGTTATTTGGAAAACCGGTACCAAATGATATTTTTTGGTACTTTTTCATTCTCCAACTGGTACTTTTTGAGGTTTCTATGATATTGAAATCGAAACAAGAAATTAATAATAAAGGGACTTTTTTTTACTTTTTCGTTCTACAAAGGTACTTTTTGAGTTTTCTTTAAAATAAACCTAGAAACATGATTAAATGAGAATCTATAAAAGTGCACTTTTTAGTACTTTTTCGTCCTTCGATTGGTACTTTTTGAGTTTTCTATAAAATTTAACCTAAAAACATGAAATTAAGTATTTAGAACCGTAGTAAATGAGAATCTATAAAAAAGGACTTTTTGGTACTTTTTCGTTCTTCTAAAGGTACTTTTTGAATTTTTGTATAATATTGAACCTAGAAACGTGAAATGTAGAGCCAGGACTAAGTGAGAACCTAAAAAAGGGGACTTTTTGGCACTTTTTCGTTCTACAAAAGGTACTTTCTAAATTTTCTATAATATTGAACCTAGAAACATGAAATTAAACATGTAGAGCCCGGATTAAGTGAGGACTTTTCGGTAATTTTTCGTTCTTCAAAATGTACTTTTTGAATTTTCTATAATATTGAACCTAGAAACATGAAATTAAGCATGTAGAACACGGAGTAAATGAGAATCTATAAAAGAGGACTTTTTGGTACTTTTTCTTTCTTCGACTGGTACTTTTTGAGTTTTCTACAAAAATTGAACCTAGAAACATCAAATTAAGCATTTAGAGCCTGGAATAAATAAGAATCTATAAGAAATTTGGTACTTTATCGTACTTCGACTGGTACTTTTTGAGTTTTCTATAAAATTAAATACAGAATCATAAAAATAAACATGTAGAGCCCGGAGTAAATTATAATCTATAAAAGGGGACTTTTTGGTACTTTTTCGTTTTTCAAAAGGTTCTTTTTGTGTTTTTTATAATATTGATCCTAGAAACATGAAATTAAGCATGTGGATCCCGGAGTTAATGAGAATTCATAAAAGCGGGCCCTTTGGTAATTTTTCGTTCTTCAACTGGTACTTTTTGAGTTTTCTATTATAATGAACTTAGGAACATGAAATTAAATAAAATAGGTCTTTTGGTACTTTGAAACATAAAACTAAGCAATCAGAGACTTGAGTGATTGAAAATTTAAACTGGAATATTTTCTGGTACTTTTTCGTTCTTTAACTGGTACTTTTTGAATTTTCTATAATATTGAACTTAGGAACATGAAATTAAATAAAATAGGTCTATTGGTACTTTTTCGTACTTCAACTTTTGAGGTTTCTAAAATATTTAATATATAAACATATGTAAACATAATTGAATAAACATTTAAAAAGGTACCAGTATCTTTTTTGTTCCTTTTCTAATTCTTTTCGAATTTTCTATAATATTGAACGTAAAAACATAAAATCGGACACGCAGCTTCCTGATTGTATAAAAATCTGTATGTGATTTGTTTGGTTTCTGGTTGAAAATTAAACATGCGTCATTCTGATTTAATAAAAATCTATAAAAAGGCACTGTCTGGTACTTTTTCGTTCTTTAACTGTTTTTTTTTTTTTAATTTCTGTAATATTGAGACTAGAATCATAAAATTAAACTTAAAGAGTTCTCTAAAAGGGGACTTTTTGATAGTGCAGATATACTTGTATATATTTACAATAATTATATTTATTTTATTCCATTACGATGAGTGTAGCGAAGCACACTGGGTATAGCTAGTAACTATGTATATAAAATGTCCGTAATATATCAACTAAATATTTAATACCATTTTGCGAGAAAATTGTTTCAGTAGCTAAAAATACGTGGTATCGAGTCAGATTGATTTAAAAAGTTTTTCCAAAGCTTTTGGCCTGTGTTATTAGTATAAAAATTATTAGAATATTAGCATAAACTTTAAAATAACGAATAAACCTCGAATGGGCCCACTGATATCAAATATACATACTGCAGATTTCAATCAAGTGAAATTTTAGACACATTTGTTAGCCCGATGATACATTATAAACCTGGTCCGTGATATGAATTTTCATTTTCATATAAATATTTTCACATTCTTTTTTACAAAATTATTTAAATCCTCCCCGTTTTTTACGATTACTACATAAAAAGTACACATTTACATACATATTTAAAATAACAACAATTTATTTAATTTAACATATTTATCTACTTATTTTGACTTTGAGATTACTTAAATAAACTATAAACTAAATCTAATTTAAATTCTTTTCAATTAAATGAATATAAAAGGCGGGATTTTTAACAACACTAAGATCTTTGAAATCCCCAAACAATTGATGTTCCGCATGGGCACCAAAAATTTCCTTAAGGATTTCAGTGAATTTTTTCAATTCATGAGGATAGTAGGACAAACGGAATTCACTGCTCAAATTGTTGGCAGCAATCAAATAGTCCATGGTAACCATAGCTGGTTTGCCGCAATAGAATAATACGGAAGTCTTAATATCAGCGGTATGGCTTGTCTGAAATTATAATATTGACAATAATAAGATTAATATAACATAATAAAAAAAATCTATAAAAACGAGATTATAAAGAAAACGTGAGTCTTTATCATATGTTATTATAAGAAAAATAAACTTAATTTTATAGCATGTTCCAATAATTGCATGATTCTTCCTATGAGTTTTCTACTAAAGGTCAATGTCACTGATTGATAAGAAGGGATTTCGAAAAAATCGCACATATGATGAATGTACATTCAAAATATTTATGAATTTACTTTGTGGCTTTATCAAATTTATATTAATTATTTACCAGTTTGTGCCAGTTTTTGAAATATATTTTGAAGCATATGGGTATTATTTGGTTTAAAAAACAAAATAATTAAGGAAAAGGTTAGTATAGAGGTCACTCACACTATCTTTATTGTTTAGAAGGTAATTTATTTTTGCAAAAAAAATTCTTCTTCTATATAGAGTATTGACGTCAAGATATATTGAAAGTGATAGTAAATCTGGGTTAATCGGTTGACAATTTGTAAAGGTTAAAGAGACATTTGAAAGTACTTTTTATAGATAGATAATAGTGGTATCCAAACCAAATAGTTAGGCTTTCAGATTGTACTTTCGACTAAGAATTTGATTAGATTATGATATTAGCACTTTCAACATAATAGCGCAACATAATTCTTATCAAATCGTAGTAAGTTAGAGAAGGATGAATGACTTGTTTACTAACAAAATAAAAATCATAAATATTTTTACTTTTTATCAACTTACATTATAATAAATACTCTTAGCGGGGGTTGAACCGGTTTCCAAAATGTTATCATAATTACGGTGATCAATCAAAAGCATACCACCGGGTTTCAAGCACTTTTCAAAGTTTTTAATGGCTTGTTTATGCAACACTTGCTGGGGAGATGAGTCCATTAAATGGGCGAATGAGTTGCCCAAGCAAACGACAGCATCGAAGCCAGTCTGAACAATATCCTTGATTTCGTCATAGAGAGTCAACCAATTGGCTTCTTCAATAACTATAAAATAATATGTAAAATATAAAGTTAATTAAAATTTATTAAAATAAAATATCTACAAATTATACTTACTCCACTTATCGAAGGCGGCTTCCTTACGACGGTTCCAGCGTTCCTTCAAAGCATATTTCAACATTTTGTCAGAGGCATCTACCGAAACAACTTCAAAGCCTTCCTCCAATAGCATAATGGAGTCAACACTGTAAAAAGTTCAAAATTTTAAGTTATTACAAAAACAAATAAATAAATGAATAAATTCGTTATTTAATCTAAAGTTTAAAATTAATGAAAATCCTTTAAATGATTAAACTTAGCAGAACTAAAAGTTCAGTTAGTGTCTACGTTCCGTTCCGAGGTAAATCAGTTAGGAAACTGGTCATGAGGTTGCCGGATCTTTGGATTACGCTGGATTGCTGTCTAGGATAATAATACTGGCAAAATGTATTTCTGTTTAGCAAACTAAGTGAGAATTTCATAAATCCTTCAAATGATATATTAATTAAATCAATTAAATTAATTAAAAATATTGAAATCGTTAAACAATTCTAAAAGGGCAAATAATATGTTTATACAAATTTGTTTAAATTTCAATACAAAACTCTAGTAAATTATTTTTCCAATATTTAGAAAGAATTTTTTAAATACAATTTTTTCCTTATTGTTATTTTAATAGTTACTTACCCAGTACCACAGGCTACATCCAAAATACGTTTACAATTCTTAGACTTCAATAAATTGATCAAAAACTGTTTGTAATTATCGGTACGGGAATTTTTGTCACCAATGAAAATTTCCCAAACTTTGGCGGCTTTACCATCAGCATACTGATCACGGACACCTTCGGCAGAAATACCCTCTGAACGGGCAACGAAAACACTATCGGCTGAATTGGCAGTCATGGCGGGCTCTTCTATAGATTGTGTACTTGATCAAACGAAGTGAATGTTTAAACTGAATTTGCACTCTAATGTTACTTTTAACAAAAACTTTTTCCTCCAACAAAACTTGACAAAAAACAAAAATATTTATTAAAAATCAAAAATATATAAATAAAAACAACAAACACTTGTGAAGTGAAATAAAAGAAATGACAACAAACGATGAATAAACCTACTGAAGCAACCGCAGAAAGCGAATTCAAAAACTGTGACTATTATGAACCCCGAATACGACACAGATAAACCGTTAAAAACAAATTTGTCTACGTAGTACATACCCACAAGTTGGTAGGGTCTAAGTATTTGTGCAGCTTTGAGCTTTTTCTTCTTAGGGGCCATCGCAGTGACTTCTAATTACCCTATCGCATATATTTTTCATTAAAATATTAAAAACTTTCCAACTAATGACCATTACTACTTAGGGGCTCATTTGTCAGTTTTTAAATCTTCAACGTAATTTAATGGGTTTCGCTGCAGAAGGCACGTATTAATTAATAGATTATAATAATCATGTTATCAGTAAATTTTTGTGATTTAAATAGTGCTTGTATGGATCTGTTGTTGTTCATTCGAATTTAAATGACAGTGACCTTAGCGTGATATAGTGAAAAAACAATTTTCTAAAAAAAATCAGAACTTTTTTTTTCAATTTAGAATCTGATTCATTTGTTAATAATAGAGGAATTTATGAAACGCCCTACCATTACATGGAGAGAAATACTGGCTAACTTAAGTTCCGGTAACGTGGACCAGGTTCAGTACAAATTACTAATTAGTAATTACAAATTACTAATTCCTTAATTGTCGATCCATTATGGATCGAATGATTATAATTCGTGTTGAATTTTATCTTGACAATTAAAATTATTAGGATCGTATTCAGGATCATTTATCAAACTTTTCAAGAACTTATATTGTATAAAAATTATAAATTATTATGAATGAACCTAATGACTTTGGTAATAAGGGGATATGAACATTCTACGTTCTATCCTTACAAAACTTTAAAATTCGATTCTACTTATCTGTTTCGAAACAGAAATGATAGACCGACTAGGGATACAAAGACGGAAGCACCAATATTTTTGTGTATCACAAACACAAGTATTAACATTTAACACTAGGAAATCGTAATGCATTTTCTGTCCCTAATGGCGCTTCATTAGCAATAGTATTATTATCATATAGAAATTATAAGGATCTATTTTGGACTGAAATTTACAGAATTTGAGAGTAATTAGAGGATTTATTTATCATAAATTGATGTTCTGTAATGATGATGACGATGATTTTTTCCAAAATATTGTGCTGCGCTAAATCCGAATCTGGAACATCCCCATCACATCAGATCTTTGAGATATCGTGTTCCCATTATGGTCATATCTGAAACCTTATAACAGATCGAAGAATCCATCAGTTGGAAAATCTTTTATATTAGTCTAATCTCTCGACTTTAAAATAAAGTTTTAACCTCCCCAGCAAAAACCTACATTGAAAAGTAAGGGGTTAATATGCTAAAATTTACTTACACAATAGCATTTTAAGTCATTATATTAACACGGGGAGACAAAAAAAATTTTATCGTTTGTGTTAAAAACAAAGTTCGAAAACAACATGTCAAGACTAAAAAGTAAGTACTTGGTAATGGCTTTCAATTGTAATTACTTACCTAACAACATACTTTTCAATGACTACTACATATCTGGATTACATAGAAGTAGTCTAATAATAATCTTTCAAATAATGTGTTATATAAATACTTTCTTATTCATTAGTCATCTTGCCAGTAAAGATATAGAGACTGTATACGTTTTTTCATGCGATTTACAATGACTACTTTTTCTAATTACTTTTAATCGTTTGTGGTAAGTACTTGCCTCCAATGACATCGCCGTGTTAAAGTAATGACTTAAAATGCTATTGTGTAACTAAATTGTAGAATTTTAACCCCTCACATGGTAATGAAAGTTTTTACTGGGATGTTATTCTTTTTTAAAATATCTAAACCTAAAGTTTGAAACTTTCATTTGAAAGTTGACAGATTGGACTTTAGCTGTTATTTCGTTTAAATACATAGTTTTTTAAACTTTAGGAAACAATATCTCGAAATGTGATGGTGAAATTCTGAGGCCTGAAATGTATACATTAGTCTCAGTTTTTGTCCATTTTTTTAAATTTTGTTGGTTTAATGGAATTTTTGTGTAAAATCACTTCTCTATCTCCTGGACTGATATATCCCATTTTCAATCCCAAGAAGACTTTATCCATAAAGAATATTTGTGAATTTAACAAAATTAAATATGTTGAGAGTATTTAATATGTCGACTTGTATGCATCTAATTTAGCTATCGTATGTTGTGTTCTCTTCTAATTTTTTTCAAAACAAAATAATTAATATGTACGCTAAAATAACTTTAAATTATTTGTTTATGCTTTTTTCTGTTTTGTTTTTCTTATGTTGTTGTTATATTTTTTATATTTTTGCTATCTCATGATAACCCGAAATAATTCTTTATCACTTTCTATTTTCTTCGTCTATTTGTTTTGTTCGCATTTTAATGTTTCTCCACTGATGTTGAGCGTCACACAAATTTTGCAAAAGCTTGCAAATATGTAGTTATTTTCTAGTGTTATTTAAATTCATATAAACAAATTCAATTTTACTCATATTTTATTAGTGTTTTCTATAAATTAACGTTTGTTTAGAATTTGCTGATACGAGTACTAAAATGTTATAAATAGCTTTGTAAGCTTAAAGTTTTAATTAGAGCTTTTATTGATAACATTTGCCCGTATGTTTGCCTTAAGTTAACAGATGATTTACAGCGCTGTTAAATATAAAGCTTTATTAAAGCTTTTGGTGATGGGCAGAGAACAGTTATCGTTTTGTATTATATTCAAATTTAAACTCAATGGTGTTAGCCAGTGTTGCCAGAAACATTTTGACTCGTATCAGCAATCTAAAGATTGAAGCCTCCATTTTTAATTAAATCCCTTTGGTTTTCTCTAACATATTTTCATGAAAAATCTAATTACTTATGTCCATCGAAAGCACTTCAATCCTTACAAATGTCCTATCAGAATACTATTTAAGCAGTCATGACCAGGGGAAGCAAAAATATGGCAAAATAAGTTTTTTATTAAATTTAACATTAAACAAGTTATAGTTTTGATATTTTTTAAAGTGAACGTCAACATGAATAGTTTTGAGTTCCATAAATCTACTTTAAAATAATCGAAGAATCGACTTTATGTCGGAAAAGGTCGAAATCAACTTTTTTATCCTAATAAAGTCGATAAATCGACAATCTTGTAAGAGAAATATCGAAGAATCGAGTTCGCAAATAAAAGTTAAAAAACCCAAAAGATCCAAAAAAGTTGAAATGTAGAAAATCTACTTTTCAAAAATACAAAAAGTCGACTTTTTTTGTTTTAACTATAGAACCCTAGTTTTAATTTTAACTTTTTCCCGGACACCAATTTATTATTAAAGGTATTGGTCTCTCTGAACCAACGTAGGATAATTAGGCCAATTTTGTATTTAAACAAAACATTATACTTTTAAGTTTTCTTTATATCTGATCTTTTGTATCTTTTATATGTTTGCATGCATCTTTAAAAGTCGGAAATAAGCTTAACTTTAACTTTTCAGAGATATCTGACTTTAATATACAATTCTACAAAAAAAATTACAGAATTTCGGAACAATTTGAAAAAATTCTTGAAGTTGAATGTGGACCGACTTACTAGGGTCCACATGATAATCCCGATGTGTTACCCTCTAACGGATCCTACCAACCTATAGAACATTAGGTTAGCAGGTCGTCCTCGCGATGTCTTCACTGGGGACAAACTTGGGTCCAGTATATTGATCTCTTTGTGATATCTGAAACGAGAGAAAACGGTCAGCGTATTAGTACACTTCGACCTAATTACTCTGGTTTCCTATAGGACATTATATGTCCGTGTTTGACATGGAATCAAACCAACCAGAGGCCCGAATAAACGACTACATTTTAAATGTTTCCATGACTGAGAAATGCAATTATTAAAGTGTAAAATTAAGCTCATTCCTCTTGATTTTTCTTATAAAATTAATGATTAAAGCATGATTTTCAATATATTCTGTATTTTCGGTTTTGAAAAAAAATTCCGCTCAAAATCAATGGTTTCTGCCTGTGATTACTGATACAAAAACTTGTTGAAAAGGTACATATATCACAAAATAATATGTATGTATATGATTATATGTAAGTCATAATAATTGAACTTAAAAGTAATGCAGAGGGTATTTAGTAGTTACTGAAAGTGGTTTTGCAAGTAAAAGTCATAACCGAGTATTTGCTGGGTATTTATGGATAAAATTACCACTTAAAGGTACCTACCAATAAAAATACTGAAGTAAATTTGACTGCAGGAAATTGATTCCGATTAATTTAAATAGACTTCACTCCATTAAATCTATATATATATATGTATATATATATATATATATATATATATATATATATATATATATATATATATATATATATATATATATATATATATATATATATATATATATATATATATATATATATATATATATATATATATATAAAAGAGTAACGTTACTGACTGATTCATCATCGCACAGCCCAAACGGCTGAACCTAGAATAATGACATTTTGACAGTAGATGTGTTTTTGGTTGTGTAGATCCACTAAGGAGGGATTTTTGGAAATTTGTACATTTAGGGGTAAGAAAGGGAACAAACGGGTAAAACAGGTTTTCTTAATTATTAGTGATACAAGAAAAATTTGAAATGCACCCGTATTCACTCTGAAAATAAGCAGATGGGTGTCTGGTACTTTTTTGAAATTCGTACTTTTAAGGGGTGAAAATGTGTAACAAAGGTGATTTTGGTACCTTTTTTGGCCCTTTATAACTTCTTAACTAAAAAACAAAATAACATTTTTGTAAATATTTTGGATATATCTCCCAAAATTAGGAGACACCTGTTTCATACTTTTTTAAAATTCAGTCCTTTTTGGGTGTAAAAGGGAGAAAACTCTATTTTTGGTACTTTTTTTTAGCACATTAAGAAAACTTTTTCAATTTATTGAAGTATTCCTATTTCTACGGGAAATTTAATTTTATTCAAACTCATTGAGCCAATTTTTATAAAATTTGAAAAAGTAGTTTATTTACTCACACAAAATAAGCTTTTGGTATATTATTTTGGAATTCGAGTACTAAGGCCTTTTTGAAAGAACACTTTTTCTGGAACAAATGAATGCAGATTTGAATCGTTTGAGTTTTATCTGTAATATATAGATTTAAACACGAATGAAACTAAAAATACAAGCTTCTTACTGATTGCGAATTTATTCACGTGATATTGAACGTAAAAAATTGAAACATTAAAAAATGTTTAAATCAATTTAAATTTTCTATAAAACTAAACAAAATTTTGTATGTATTTAATTTTGGTTAGGGTAGCGAAGCACCCAGGGTATGCTAGTTAAACATAAATTTTGTGGGTAAAAATAATTCTGTAATAATAATTGCATAGTTTTCTTTAATAGTATATCTTGCCTTTATTTGTTAATAATATTTCTTATAAATAAATATAAAATTACAGACAATAAAAACAATTGTCAATTAGAACATAAAAATAATCTCCATAAATAAAGATTAATTAAATAAAATTGCATTAAATATCCGATTAAACTTATGTTCGTGGTGAATATAAAAAAGGGTGTTTGTTAATTTTCAATCTTGGTATGGATATTGCACATTATTTAAATTGAAACTAGATAATTATTTAAATAAAATACTGGATTTAAAATAAAAAAATCTAAAAATATTTAAGTTGTAATAAATTAAGCGATTTTATGATTACGTTTCGCAAAGGAATTAAATGTGTCACTCTAAAGTTGTAATTCCCTTGAGAAACATAAGCAGGTTCTTATTTAATTAAATTTATTGTACTAAAAATAAACAATAAAATCTTAAACTAAGTTAATTAAATAAAAAATAAATTTGTTAATTGCAACAATATTTTATAATTAAATGCATATCATCGTTGTTTTAACACTGAACTAATTAAATTTACATTATTTTGGGAGAAGAGAGGAATGAATTTGTGGGTTTATGGCAAATATCCTAAAGTGTCCTCGAGAGAGGCACTTACAGCACGCATCGATTGATAGTTATTTTGAAAATTTTCTCTTAAAATAATATCGCGCGTTTTACTCTTTCCACTGTGTACCGAGGCTGCTCGGGCGATATTCTTCTCAATATACGATAATTGCTTAAGTATATCATCAGCACTACAGGATTTTTGTGATGAAAGAGTATTGGATGAGAGATTATGCGGAGGCAATTGATTTCGCTCATTCCGGCGCCCAATACTAAATGACTCACGCTTACGATAAGACTGCGTCTGTTTGCGTGCCGCAACCGAGTAAGAACGACAACTATCCATGTTTTTAAGTTTGGTAGAACCACCTGAACATAGACTTTTTATATCCGTCGTCTGACTCAATTTGACATCTGCAAAAATGGCAGCTGCCTCTACGCTTTTCTTCACACTCAATGCTTCGTGGGGCTGTATGGGTTTGTTGCTACCATTGATATTGAACAGTTCATAGTCAACTGCTAGTTTGTCGGATGTCTTACGAGTCATGGAGCGTGATCTTCGTTTTGGTGATTTATTTTTGCTGTTGTTATCAATATGTCTGGAATTGGAACGACTTTCAATTCTCTTGCAATAACATTTACTGGCACTTATACAGCTGTCGGTATCACACCAGGTTGTATCGGAATGTGCGTTAGCCGTTTCATCATCAGCTGTATTGTGTGCTTCTTCCTCTACCATCGAGCAGTAGCATTTGTCGTCCGACTGGCAGGAGATCAACGAATGACGATTCATATTGTTGATGCTATTAATAGGTTTTGGCTTGCGCCGTTCATTAATGTGACGCAATTCATGGCTGTCAAGTTGATCTGTGCGAAGACTGCAATAGCAACGATCAGCCGATGTACAAGTACATGATTCCGAATCGTAACTGCATTCCGAACAGGAGACATATCTAACATATAAAAAATATTTAGCAAGAATTAAGTATATGAAGAAGTATAAAGTTAGATAAGCAAAAGCGGTACTAAGCAAAGCAAAAAATTTCATTGGCAAATGATTTTCCGAAAACTATCGAACCTGTTCAGTACGTACCCACTGCTACTGTTCCGATTTAGTCCTTGAAATGCATTCTCATGACGTATCACAGACACATCTGAGCCACTGGTAGCCACACGATTACGTTGATGCTGTTGATGATGGTGCTGGTGTTGATGTTGGTGCTGATGATGATGTCCGTGTAGCTGGCGGTGATTTGGGTGGGAGGATATTGTTGTGGGTGGTCCAATGATAAGCGGAGGTTCGGATTTGCGATGATTTTCCAAGTCTTTATTACGGGGTGGTTTTGGTGGCTTTCCACGACACGAGCGAAACTGACCTAACTGAAAAACCTTCTTCAAACTTTTTGTACCAAAAATTGGGGTTTTCGGTTTTTTCTATAAAAGAAAAGTTTAAAAATAATTAAAATATGTTTAAGATTATTGATAGTTTCACACTTACTTGGGAACCACTGGAATATATTTTACGTTTAAGTTTCTTCTTCTTTTGACGACGCATTATGTTCTTTGATCTTTGAAATAACTCATCCTTCGTTAGGGTGACTGCTAGTTTAAGGAGAAATTCCTTGTAGATCGGCTTTAGATCATTAAACGACATGCCGTCCGCATCAATAATAGCAGAAAGAATATCATCCAGTGAATGCAGATTCTCGTGCAAACGAAATTCATTGAAGAGTTCGCTGAAACCAAGTGGTGAACTAGAAACATAAATCGAAATAAGGAGCAACAATTTACTGACTTTCCGTAACCACACCAGTACAGTAGTTTTCTTTTTGGTTTAAAATGTACATTGCAGAAATGTTTGATTTGATTTTAATTTTATTAATATACATACATATATATTTTAATGAGAAGTCTATTAAAAGATATATGTAATTGAAAGGCCGAATATTTTAAATGGTCACTTTTCTACTTTGAAATGTTTAAGTTTAGGAATATTAAGAATTATTAATATTTTTTTTTCAAAAGAAATATCAAACAGATCTGCGTGTATGTGTGGATCAAGTTAGAGTAGGTGTGTTTGTGAGTGTCTTTCTGTGTGTGCGTGTATTCATAATCATCAGTTTTGGTACTTACCCACCACCACCGCCATTTGATCCACCAATTTTTCCCGAATTACGACGTGCTGCTCTGGATTTGTACCGTGTAAGGCCTCCTGTGTTCAGGAAGCTACCGGATCTAGGAATTGCTACACGCGTAAATATATCTCCACTCTCACCACTCCGCAATCCAGTATTTGATGAGGCAATTGCTGCTGCCACCACCGCTGGAGCTATACCATTTCCAATAAGTTGCGATGCTTTATAGACACTATCACCCGAAGTCTTTTTCGAATGGCTCAAATGAGAACGATGTGAACTTCTAAGATTATTCTCCGCCTTCTCCAGATACGAATTCGATGGAGAATTGCAATTGTCTCTAGATATTGAATTATTACGTACAGATGAGTGTAATTTCCTAGACGCCTCTCCCGGTATAGTGGTTGGTATTGGGGGAGCTCTTTTGGTCTTGTGTGATTTTCTTTTTCTCTCCTCAGTTGAAGTTTCCACAGCCTCATTGATAACATTGCTGCTCGAACTAAGGGAACTATTCGAAACGCGTTTCTTCCGACTTGAACGAGAAGCAACGGATGCACCAACCGTACTGCCAGACGTACTGCGAAATGAACTTTTCCGTCCACCTGATGCCAACTGTGACCGCGAGTGATAATTTGAACCAGTTACAGCCGAACTACTAGCAATACTTATGCAACTAACGCCATTTTGATTACGCGGCGTACGACGTTTTGTACTCCTATGTGAATTTGAGCTGACGTGAGCCATTAGACTCTGATATAGAGTTGCAGCAATAACGATGGCATCTTCAGTGCTCTTACAAATGAAACCGTGGCATTCCAAAACTTTGGGCATACCAGCTGAACGCATAACTACAGCAAAAATGGGTGCATGTTGGTTGTTGGCCAATCGTTTCTGCTCCAAAGGACTGAAATTTGGTGAAAGTTATTATAGGTCAATACAAGTTTTACATTTCACAACATTTTAAATGGGATTTACCTTAAAGGTTGAAATAATGTGGACTTGTCAATATTTTCGGGTGAAGTAATGAGCGGTAAAAATGCAGCACCTCCATCTTCTTGTGATACTGTGAATTTAACTGCGGACCAAACTGCAATATTATGAAATGGTGTAATACTGCTGTCATTATTTAAATTATTATGTGAATTGTTGGTCTTCACTCTCAGGCCTGTTGCACAAATATCCAAAGTACCCGCATTTTGTTTCTGAAATAATGAAAATTCAATAATATTTTTATAAAATTATGATGTGGTTAAAGTAAATGGTAAAACATACCTCATCATTTATTTCCCTCAAATAAAGTTCTCTTAACGGTTCCTGTAGACCTTGCAAGCTAGTTACTTTATCTTTGAGTGGCAGCGAACCCAAACACGTGACAGGAAAACTACTTGTTGCATCTTTGGCCACATCTGTGAATAATTGTTCGATTTGTGCCTGCACACTATTGCTAATACGTTGAACATCTTTTTTCGTATTATCGGCTAGAATTTTCGCTGTCTCATTCGTTTCGTGCAGGTAACTAGTAATTGAACGCGAGCTCTCTCCTGCTGTACTGGCCAATTCACTGCGTCCGTACATAATAATGGAACGGGTGCGATGAGAGCCATGAGGATCATCGAGGCGATTGCTTCGGGTGGAACGACTGCAAAAATAATAGAAGAAACATTTTTTAATATTTATTTGAAAATGTTATTTAAATATACTTAATATGTGTACTTCTATTAATTTAAAAGTTAAATAAATGATGGACCAGAAGCAAATATTTTAAAAAATTTAATAAAGTAAACGAAACCTTATTTCTTGATATATATGAAACAAAATATATGTATGAAAAACGAAATTATTTACTAACTGCCGCGATTGACTTTACTAGAGCTTATCCGATCTGTCAGAGATGAGGGTAGTGCAATTTTTAGTTAAATCAATATTTCACTCTGCTATCTGTCCTGTTCTACTTTTTAAATGCTTTCTGGATTCGTCTCAAAAATTTCCAGAATAATATCGGTTTGAGATCGTTGGTGATTCAGATTAACTTGCACATTTAGATTAGGTTGATAAGAGGATGTAAACTACATCAAATCCGAAGAAATACACGGGCCTGTTATGATTTAGTATTGAAAAAATTCCATTCTCGTTTAAGCTCATATAATTAGTAAAAGCTAGGAATCGGCAAAAGAGATTGGAGTACATAGAAAGATGTGACTTACGTTATTGAAAGACAAAACCAGGATCTTTCAGTTGAAAGTTAGCAAAAGTACCAATTAAAAATTATGTACTTTTATAAGGTCGATATTTATTACTCATTATATGGCCATCAAAGAATTACACAGGTAAACCTAAATTTAAAAAAATCGAAACCCAGAAACCTTGATATTGAATATGATGAATGAGTTGTGTTAAATTTTAATCCTAACTCTCAATTACATCAGCTTTTAGAGATATCGTGTCCTAAATTTTGAAAAACGAAAGTTTTTTTGTTATATGAAAGTCCAATTTAATCATTTTGGTATCATGTTCTTTCGTTAAGATATATAAAATTTAAGTTTAAAATTACTACAAATTAAAAAATTGCAATGAACGATATCTCGGCAAATAAATAAGTTTTTTAAGCAATTCAAAAAGTATTCTTATGGGACAAATAGTGACAGCGTTTTTCCAAGCATAAGGTTAAGATACTTTGAAGAAGGAAGAATATAACATAACTGAAGTTAAAACTCTAAAGTTATGAGATATGGGTTTCAGATTTCGCTCTATTGCAACGTCATAAAAATTGGCCTAAAACTTAGTTTTAGCGCATCTTTCATATACGGATAAGTCTAGAGTCTTGTTAACCACCAAAACTGATAAAGGCCGAAAACATTTTCGAACCAAAGTAAATTCATTTAAGTTAAATATTATATTAAGGCATAGAGTATCAATATTAAGTGGTATAATTTGTTATATTTATTTTTAGGTCACATCTACATAATATGATCTGATCTTATATCCAATAAAAACTTCAGGAATAATAATAAAAAAACTAAACAATAACTGTTTTTACATTGCAATGCATTGTTACAAATCAAAATAAATTTTCAGTGTGGGAGTAAGAAAAATTAAAAGATATAAGAAATTATAGCTGGGCATGGCCGACCATATGATACCCTATACAAGTTATGATTTATGTTTATTATTTTTAATAATAAAGAATTTATGTTTCAATTTCGATATATTTTATCGATATATGGAGCTAGTTTCTGATATGAAGCGATCCTAACAAAATTTGCAAAGGCATTTTTGTTGAAATAAAATTTAATTTAAGAGGAGGGCTTTGTTGGGGAGCTAGTGTCGAATTAGGGATAATCATTAATATGAAACATAGTTGTGCCTATTTTTGTAGAGATATTAGTATATTCGTTGGCTCCAAAGCCTATTTTAGTGGATCGAGTTGTATGGACTCCGTGTGAAATAATGGACATATATCAATCGAAATCAATAGGGTGCTTGGGTCTAAAGTAATACGTTTACCAACTTTCATCGAATTATTTTAAAAATTGCGATCTGTAGTTAAATTACATGATTTACATGGAAAGACTAACGGACTGACATATCTTAATTGACTCAGAAAACGATTCTGAGCCGATTGGTATACTTTAGAAACACCTACTAAAGTGGTGTAGGGTATAAAAATAGAAACAAAAATACATATCCACATCTTTTTACAAAAGTCAGATAAATGTAACTTTTGAATATATGATATGCAACGTTATCTGTTATGACACCCCCAAATGGGTTAACATGAACAATCTAATATTCGATTTTGAAAATATAAAATATGTAAATCCTCCTATAAACGAGTACATATTGTAAAAGAATCTACAAAATCAAATAAGAGACAGTACAAATAGATAGTTATAGTGTTAACAAAAGAAATAGTAAATAAACCGGAATCTATGGATGATCACCTGTTGAAAACACTTTTGGTGGCATTTGGACACAATAACAAAACTGCAGAATCACTCTTCTTTTAATACTCTTTCGAGTGTAATGACAACAGACCAATATACTATACATACATATTTACATTCATACATACAAAGACTGACAATCATCTATTGTATTGTAAATTTATTTATCGAATACCGCTATGTGACACCAAATCCTCCTAACTAGATAAATACTTGTTTTAAGAAAAACAAATTCAAAATCTAAACCATTTAAATTGCCAACATAACGACAAACGTCTAGCAACTACAAATGTGAATGAACAGCATTCACTTTGCGCCGCTGAAGACGCGTGTTACTTTTCCAATATTTATCACCTTTGGTGCGTTTTCTTGTGGATTCTTTTTTTCTAAATCTCGCTCCCTCACTCTTTTATAAAAGAATTAAGGTCGCTAAGAATCTATGAATATTTTATTAGCGATTTACAATTTCTTCAAAGTATATGTTATAAAAAAACCATAAAATTTTATGTAGACAAACATATGGGCGATCGGTCCATTGTTTAAAATTGAAAAAATAACAGCTTTTGTAGTTTAATTGTCAAAAATAAGAAAAAAAACTTTGCGTTTGTGTTTTTTTTTTCGTGTAAAAAAAACAAAATAATATTATACATAATTATTAAAATAATAGGAAATGAAAGTGATATTCAAGATCTTTTTCCTGAACACAAAAGAACTTGTTTATACAGAATTACTTTCTTTACAAATATTACTTATGTATAAGTCAGAGGTAATACCAAAAGAGCTGTAGGTAATAGTTAATATTAATCGACAAAACTAAATCAGAAGTGGGTGCTAGGATATTTAAGAATCTTAACAGAATAAACATTTATTGATTTAAGTTAAATATGTAAAAAAACAAAATGTGTATGTAATTCAAAGTGAGTTTCATTGTTATGTTCATAATTGTAAATCAATATCAAGCAGTCAAATTTATTATCTACTTTGTCAATAATACATACAACTAAAATTCCCTATTAAATCATAAAAATAAATGTAGATTTAATGCAGATTTAAAGCAAGAATTATTTATTTGTACATTTGTTTATACATACATATCTAAAAACCATTTGGTTTGGGTTTTCCCGGATTCTCAGAAAAGACGTTTCATTCAAGACGTTTAAGTTTAGCATTTTAACAATTTAATGTTTAAATTAAAAAAGAAAATACCATGAAAACAGCAAAAAAGAGTTTTTTTAACTTTAGGTGATAATTTCTCAAAGAAGGAACACGATTTGGCAGAAGTTAAACTTGTTATAACATCCCGAATATAGCGGTGTTTCTTTGAACTATTTATACTATGTGAAGATCTCTTCAAAAACATGTAATTGAAGAAATCTGAGTTCAGATGCAGAAAAGCTCAATCAATTAAAAACAAGTAAGAAAGTATAGTCTGTTGTGGCCAACCATATGACTTTGTATGGGAATTATCATGAAAATTGCGACCTGACGGTTGCATGGCTTAATCGACTCAGAATACGATACTTGTATAAAAGAATTACACTAAAGTGTAGGGTATAAATATTTTCTAGACCCTTGGTTTCGATTTTATTTTTGTCCATCTGTGTAATTTTGTGATGAATAAACTGAATCAAATAATGGTAAAGGAATTAGTGATATTCAAATATATTTGCCACCGATTTCAAGTATTACTATACCCAACACCATATTAGTGGAGAGGGTATATTGGATATATAACGACCAATATTATTGGTCCCATACAAACCTTTAAGTATGCCAATCGGCTTTGAATGATTTTCTGATTCGATTTACCCATGTCTGTTGTATGTTAGATCGGACAACGTCTACTGAAAATGGTTAAAATCAGTCTATTATTTCACCTAGCCCCCATACAACTGAATCCCCAGTGCTTTTGAGCTCATAATTATTTTGAATATACTTATATCTAGACAAAAAGCGGCACAACTTAGTTTCTTACTAGCCTTAATGACCTTGTAATGGTCGGGCGGGCTTCATTTGATCCCAGCCCCAAACAAATCCCTCTTCAGAAAATTACTTAAATTTCCACAATTCGCTTAAAAAGGTAATGTCGTGATGAAATTCAGCATTTCCCCCCAAACCCCCATATAAAGCCTCTTTCAGAAAATAAGTTTTTCAAGAATATCGGAGGCAAAGTACAATAACTGGTGTAGGGTATTATAGCCCTCATTTAATTTATATTTTTGAAATAAGTTTATTGTTAGTATTAAAATAAAATCTGACAAATTTACAATTATCTATTTTGAGAAATCTGTGAAAGATTCTAAATTCGGTAATGATTTAACTAGAAATGTTTAAGAGCTTGACCTATATGCTATATCTGCTCCAGTATGGATGCACATAAAACATCCTATCTAGTAGATCTTAGTAGATTACATCTGAGCGCAATGGCTAGTAATAACTGACAAAATGTTATTAGTGGTCATTGCAAATTTGGAAACCATGCAAGGCGCATGGGTCTTCCACAAACATTACAGAATTTTTGAGATCCATTTTAATAAAATCGAAAATATTTTATTTTTAAAAAATTATACTCAGGTCTCGATTTTCATTCGTCCGTTTTCGTGTTCAGTACATAAATACGCATCGATTGAGAAGTATACCTACTTGAAATATTTAAAATGGCTGTTCCTCAGAACACTCTAATGTTTGTACATATGTGTATTAGGGTCATGACTTTTTGCAAATAAGAGAGCTTTTAGGACGTGAACAGATGTTAAGGAATATGAATATGAAAACTTTTTCTATATGAGAAAAACAAATATTTTTAACAACATTTTTGCATTTGTATTACATTATCTTAAAGAGAGCATTGTTCTTTAAATCCTTGTTATGGAAATTTTAACAAATCGCGATAATGTTGCATGTTATAGAAAATAGTATACTTTTATATGAAAATTATTTAAATAATTTTTGAAAAATAACGACCGAAAGCATTTTAGAAATTGCTTTCGGTGCGGGAAGTTTTTTGACCGAATTGACTTAAAAAATAGCCTTCTATTATCAGGACAGTATTGGCTATAAGGCAGTGCTATGGTATTTTGCCGCCCCAAAAAAGTCATAACCTTAATGTATATCTATCTTTCTAATTTTGTCTCCCTCTTCAGTCTATGTTCTTCCATTTCCTTTCCATTATTATTGAACAATTATTAAATCGTACCATCATTATTACACCTAGTCGCCATACAACCGGACTAGCAAATATCGCTATAAATATAATTATGTTAATTATGTTACTATAGCTTCAAAAATTGACAGATCTAAAATCTATATAAAACTAAGTTAGATCCTAGGTCCTATACAAAGTTTAATTTTTAGAAAAATACTTAGTCTTCCATAATTCACTTATAAGCACTAGTATTATGATATAATTTGGTTTAAATAATATGTTTTATGAGGATCGGTCCATATTATATTTTATGAGGATCATATTTTTAATTTTTATCTATTAACATATATTTTGGACGTCAAGGTTCCGAATGGTATAGTTTTTTTCACGTGTAGTACTCTCCGAATGGAACATATTGACACAATAATTTGTTTCTATTTTTGCAAAGTCTATACCAGCTTACAGGCGTACAATTGTCACGAATGATGATATGGAATTGTCCACATCTAATTAGTTTTAATAGAAGAGTAACATGTCACACTCTTTCGGAGGCCTTGGAATGATTCTTTACTTTCACTATAATCGTAATGGTGTGACACCATCTTTCCGATAGGAAGCAATGGAAATTTACATAGCACAAAATTTTAAAAAGATTAGTTTGTCAAAGGCCACGTCTACGGCTTTATACATATTATATTAACATTTTTTGTAGAGAATTAAATGTTCTAAATATTTAGGGATAGGGGACCTTTGTAGAAGTTTTATATTTAATAGTAAGCACATCCAATAAAGTTACTTAGAAATCATACTTTGATTTGAGTAAATTAATGCTTGTCAAAATTTAAAATATAAGTACATACTTAAAACATTTGTAAAATTTTAGAAAGGTTTATGTGTTTTCCACTGCATATCTTCTAACAAATACATACTTATGCATATATGTGTGTTATATTATATAACAATTGAACAGTAATGCATACATAACTATTTATGTAAGTGTTGGAAATAGGAAATAAGTGTTTTTACATTAAAATTTATATAGTTAGTGAAATATTTAAATACAGGAATGTGCAACACGATAGATTATTAAGCTGAATTGTTTAAATAATGTTTCGCAAAAACTAAAGCACAGATCATTCTAACTAACATTTAATATGTTTGTGGGAAAATTAGATCTTAGTTTTTTTATTCGAAAATATTTTTGAGGAGAAACTAATGTATCTGTATTCTAGTAAAGATTGAATATTAATAATAAACTTACCTGGTATCGTCAAACATTAAATCGATTTTTAATTTATAGACCGAATTGCGGCTAACACTGGATGAAGATTCCTGATGATCGCTTTCCAATAGACGGGTGCCAGATGAATTACTACCATTTGTTTTACGTGTACGAACTGAATTCATTTTAGGTATTGCAACAACTTGATTATCCGATTTGCATGTAACCATTCTTAAAAAATTTATTAACGTTTTTTTAATTATTTTTTTTTTTATTTTATACACTTTTTTTTATTATTTATGTAACTTTCGCAAGTGTTTCGTTTAACAATTTCATTCAATTCATGTCCAAGACATGAAGATTTTTAATAAACATTTTGTTGTTAAATTTTTTAATTAATAATAAATATATTATTTTTTGTTGCAATTACTGAAGAAGTGAAAAATCTTTGTTGCGAATTCTTGTGCGGTTGGTAGTAAATTTTTTGGTTTGTTTGATTTGTTTTTACAAGTTGTTAAATTTCACATGCCAACAAGTAATTTGTTGTTAAATTTTATTATTTGTTTGTTGGGCACTGCAAAACAAAAACAGTAATAAAATAAAAATAAATTGTTTGAAAATGGTGTTATGTTCATATTTTGAATAAAAAAACTCAATATGTGTTGTACTCGATTTATGTGGCAAAAGCAAAATGCTTTCGATTTATGTAAAATGTCTATAGACAATAAACAAAAATATTGTAGTTTTCTTTCATTTTTTAGCAGAGTATTTTGTGTTTTTTCTTTAACTAATTGTTTTAAACTTTAGTTTGAGTTTTTTGTTTATTTTTTGCTTTGCTTTTCCAAACATTTTCACAAACGTTTATATGTATATATTGATTTATTTATTTATTTATTAACTGTTAAATACATACATATTACGGCTTTAAACTTTTTTAGTTCATAATTTACTTTCACTCTAAAATATCTTTGTTTTTATTTTATTTAATAGATTTTTGCAATAATTAGTGAAATAAATTGCACAAAATTGTTTGTTTTTATCTTTCGAATATTATATTCATTGCTTGTTTTTTTTGTTTGTTTAAAAACCTGTCACATATTTTTTCTTTTTACATTATTTTATTTACCCCAAACATGCACCAGATTATACAAAGTGGCCAAAATAATTGTTTAAATACATATTTCATAATTATTTTATTTTTATATTGATGGGATTTTCATGAGGTTATTTTATTTTAAGATTTGATTTACGGTTTTATGTTTTTTGTGTTTATATATGTATTTTTGTTAACATTAGAGAAATACAATTTGAAGTTAGCGTAATTTTTAAAAATAAAGTTTTATTTGATTTTTTAATATTTTCGAGCCGCATATAAATATTAAACCGATTTGAAGTAACATGCGTTGTTTTCTTAACCACGGCGCACGCACAAATGTCGATGAGCTGCTAAACACTAAACCGAATGAATGAATGAACTCCAAACCAGAGCAAGCGCACACTTGCAAACCGACATTCGTAGATACTGAATTGAAATTCAAATCCAACTGACTAAATTTGGTCGACCAACATTAGCTGTGTGCTTCGTTTACACTGACTAACAAACTGACAACAAAGAAAAAACAAATGAAAACAAACAATGAAACAAAACCAACACGCAACAAAGTTGTTAATAACTTTGCTAAATGAAGAATTTCTAAGACTTTTTGTGTGAGTGTGTAAGTGAGCAAGCGCGCTTACACTGACAGAGCATACAGATACAACTCCAGACCTCAATTTAGTAGCAGCTCTCAATCAAGACAACTTTTCATCACCATACATCACAACATCTTCGTCACAATTATTTACACTACACGAACAGAGAGTCAGACAGACAGATAGACAGGCAAACATTAAATCACATTTTGTACATACAATAAATATCATTGAACCATGACAATAGAGTTAAACTTTTGTTGTAACAAAATATTTTTGATCAAGACACACAATAACAAAATGTCTTAGATCGTTCACACTTACATTAAATAATTTTGATATTGTTGTTAAAAGATTTGCCAAAAATAATATAATGGGTTTGCAGTTTGAATAAACACTACTAGTGGAGAGTTAATTTATCATTAGCTAGTTACATTAAAAACAACCAAAATTACACAGGCCAACAGAATTTGAAAATGCCGAAATCCAGAGACCTTAGAATTTCTACATCACATCAGGTTTAAACAGATATCATGTACTGAAGATTGAGACGTTATAACATCGCGACACCTTTATTTTAAAGTTTGTTATGTCATCTGAATATCTTCTCCCTTTTTCGAGATATCTTGACGTAAATTTAAAAACAAAAAGTTATATTTTACGACATAACTTCAACGGGCAATATCTCAGCAAATACAGGAGATTTTTATATAATTCAAAAATTAGTTTTGTTGGCTTAAATTATGACAAATTTTGTTTTAAAATGAATGCTAAATATATATAGTAAAAACTAAGTTTCTGTCAATTTGTGATTGTTTCAATCAATGAATTATATTAAAATATGTACATAGGTTTCACTTTCAAATGACATAACAGATTATATAATAAAGCTGGCCAAATTAGAATTATTCAGTCCATGTATAATGGACTGTCCAAAATATGTACATGTCCAAAATATGGACCATCTAATTGAGTCCGCCTGTCTATTGAAAGCGCAATAGAAACCAAACTTGCGAATCTAAAAAGCCGCTGCTCAGCAGATATGAGCAAATTGTCTAACTACCCTTAATTTATACTGTAGAGTGAAACTAAACAATTTTAAAATGTAATCCTTGACCGGAAATTAAAATGGAGACACCACATAGAGGATAGGATCAACAAGGAACATCGGTGCTGGGGGATATGTAGGAGTACTATAGCTATGAAATGGGGTCTTAGTCCTACTATGACAAATTGGCTTTATAAAAGTGTAATTAGACCAGTTCTAGCTTATGTTTTAATAATCTGGTGGACGGCTTTGGACAAAAAGTGCAATATCAAACGACTACAGGGAGTTCAGCGTACATGTTGCCTGCGTATAAGTGGTTCCATGTGTACTACTTCAACCAAGGCTCTGGAAACGTTGCTAGATATTCCACCCATTGCAACATATTTAAGATATGAGGCGGCGCTTATAGCCGAATAGCTCTTTACTTTAGGTGAACTGGCCAAAAGCGGTTATAGGACATGTCATCAATGTATACTGGGCATATTAATAATATATCGGAAACTTTGAACGCTGATACCAGATTGTATGTCTTGGTCAAGCGGAACATTAGAGCAAATACCGGTAGGAATCCGTTGTTACACGGATGGCTCTAAATTGGGTGACAAAGTGGGCCTGGATTTGAATAAATATGGCGCCCACAGCCCTTAATATATTTACCGACAGCCAGAAGCCAATTCGGGCGATATCAGGTGATAGAATTAAATTTAAGTCCGTATTGTATTGTAAAAAATCTTTAACTGAATGGCGAAAATACGAAATAACTCCCAAAAACAAAAATGAAATAAGTCCTCAAATTTGGGGACTTATTTCATTATGAAATAATTCCCCAATTTAAAAATGAAAAAAAGCCCCAACGAAATAAAATAACTTCCTAAATTAAAATGAAATAACACCCCATTTTTGGGGATTCATTTCATATGAAACAAATCCCTAATATTAAAATGAAATAAGTTCCCATTTAAAAATAACAAATTATGGAAAAAGTCAGTTTTAGTGACATTTCTAAAAAAAGTAGGTCGCTCATACTTTCGAGTGGGGCTTCAAGGTTTAATACATTTCAGTTTAATCGCTTAATAAAGATTACTTTAATAGCCGGCCTGTGGCCGGGCGCAAGAACTTTCTACTCTATGGTATGTCCAACAACGGGTTCGCTTAATAAAAACTTCTTAAATAGCCGGCCTACGGCCGGACGCAAGGCTTTACTACTCTATAATATGACCAACATCGGCTTCGCTTAGTAAAGATTTCCTAAATATCCGGCCTAAAGCTGAACACTCTTGATACAGTGAGAGTGTATACTTAGCGAAGCCGGTGTCCAATGTACCCCAGAGGATAAAACCCTTGCGCCCGGCGGAAGTCCGATTATCAGACATATATTTTTTTTATTTCGTGTGATAAAAGTAATATAATGAAATAACTCCCCAAAAATATTTTTAGGGATTTATTTCATTTTTGAATTTTGGGGAATTATTTCATAATGAAATAACTCCACATTTTAAATGTGAAATAAAGCCCCAAAAAAACGAATTAAATCCCCAAATTTCGTTGTTTTTGCTTTCTGAACAAATTTTTAGGGAGTTATTTCATTTTTGTTTTGGGGAGTTATTTCTTGGGAGTTATTTCATGACGCCCTATTTCTTCACTGTTTCCAGAACAAATTTTAATTTTTAAAATTTTTTTAAAATAATTTTTGTTTAATATTATAATATTTACACTCATTAGCATTTATCTCGTCGAATTGATACCTTGTAATTT